GAAAAACAGTAAAACTTCGCTGCATTTCGAGAGTCGGCGTCCACCACACAGGTGCAATCCAGTTTCGCGAACTAAGAAATGTACGAGCAAAACCAATGACGCTTTCTTAGAACACCTTTGTTTCGTATCTGAAATAGAAGGGTCAATCTTTTAGATTCATCACCTATCATTGATCTAATATAATCTTGACGAACAAAATTATTTGTGAAAAGATTACGAAACATGAAACTTCGGAAGCTGTCCCTGTGGCTGGCAAACATACGAGCTGGGACTGTTGGCACAATAATTTTATGTGGGGTTTGCTTTGCCTGATGACATCCGCCTACATAGTGTCATCAGGTTTTATACTTTTAAAAACAAATGCATTTTGTATAATGCTCACCACAATTTATTTTTAAATGAACTCTTGTTTTGGATTAAATTAAGTCTTTCTGTAGATTTTCGGATGTTATATATCATAGGGGTTGTTAAACATGTAATTATAAATTGTAATCATAACATTTTCTGAAAATGATGAGATCACCATTATAAGTGCCAGAGCCTAGGCTTTCTCAGTAACCGAGAAAGCCTAGGCCAGAGCTGAAACACATCGGCAATCCACCCATGCGTTCATATTTCTCTGCTCAAAATGCTCTAAAAAATATATTGTGATCAAGTTCTCACATTTCATGTTTGTAAAATAAAATTGTTGATTTTACAGAATATGGACACTTTCTAATTACTTCTGGAACAAACCTCGATCGTAGCTTGCATTAAAAAAAAAAAAATTTTGGTGGTGGTGAGTGAAAACCGGAGAAATTAGTTTTCAAAACTGCAACAATTTTGTGTCTTGTATTAACTGAAAATGGAGCGATTATGAAAAAAAGACCACATTTTTTAACCTCTCAGGTATAAGCGCTGGGGGTTGTACGACGACAGAAGAGTGTGTAATAACTTTATAATAATACGATATCGCTTCTCTCAAACTAGATCATCAGGGCTGACACATGTTAGAGAGTATTGCTCAAATGGGTGTTTGTGTGTGTGTGTGTGTGTGTGTGTGTGTGTGTGTGTGTGTGTGTGTGTGTCTGCGCGTGCGCGCCTAATTATACTGGTTCCAATTCAAGTAATAACCAGAGGGGAATAATCGTTGGGTGGTAGTAGGCCTATTAATTGATACTGATTTTATTGGTTGGTGATCACACATCGGTAATCAGTCATTCGTCACACGGTCATCTCGTCACACCCCAATTATGTGTGACGAAATGATTTCGCTTATATACCTCTCCAAAATTGTTATGCTAGTAGAGTTTTGGAGGATCAGCCTAAAGTTTTGGTTTGAAGTTCTATAAATTATTAATGTAAATCAAATCTTCGTCCGAACTAGATCATATGCTGAACAATTGTTTAAGAAAGGCAATAATAATGTCTGGCAAAGAGTTCATTAAAGCTTTATGTTTGAAAGTAAGGGTCTAATTTTAGCAAAAGCGCAGTACCGTACGTACATTTCTATCAGCTAATTTATTTTTAACAAAACTAATAATATAGTCTTGCCAATCACATCTTTCACCAATAATGCCTAAAAACTTTGTTGATCTGACTCAATAGGTTTCAATATTGTCAATGCATATTTATGAACGGTGTAGCTGATCAGGTAGGCACGACGACTCGAACAGCCGCCCCTCCGTCCCTCTACACGCAGCCCCAACCCTTCCCCAAAAATCATGATTTGAGATTGCCATGACAATATCCGCGTTTGACGCTTGCAATTAGTGTTGTAACGAACTGACCGTCTCCATTCAACCTTGTGCATTTGGGGTGTGACGAGATGACTGTGATGTCTTGAATGCACCTGTGTGGTGAAATGACCGTGAGACGAAGTGACTGGTATTCCAAACATCGGCATCACTAAAAATTTAAGAGACGAGACGGGGGGGGGGGCACTTATTGGCTCTGATAGTGCGCAGCGTTGATATCTCGTGTGGCCTGCTCTACGTCCAGGGATTTTGTTTTTTGAATCGTCACAAAAGCAGTAGGCCTTTTATAGCTATTAACAGATGTTTGGGGGACATATGCCCGTGGCTCTGCGGAAACCCCACTGCATGACCGCTAATAAAAAAAAAACCCATGTATTTTTGTTAATATAAAACGTAATACACTGTAGCTTTTCCTTGGATGATGCATACAATACAAAAAATATACCCCCC